TTGGTTATTTATTTAAGCAAAGCATAATTAGTTGTCTTTTTTAGCCGACATAATATCTCATTGACTATTATTTTTTAGTGAAAATATATTTCAAATTTCATTTACTATTGAATAAGATGTGCATTTCATTCAAATGTATACAAAGTTGTAGAAAAGAGAAATCGGTTGTCATTTAAATGCAACGCTTTTTAATGTGTTGTTTGTATTCTTTGGCCAAAAACACAACAGAAATGCCACAAAAAAAACACTCGTGAACAAAATGTCACCAGAAACAGTGCAATCATATCATTTTTACTGTCTGTTATTATTGAATGAAATCTGAACACGTATGAAAATTATGAATCAATTAAGGTGTTATTGAGAGGTTTTGTAGTGAATGGCAAACATAATAAAAGTAATGAATTACAAAAACAAATATTATTTTATTGCTTTTTGAATTACTAATAATTGAATTGACAGTAAGAACTTTGAATACCGGTTGAGCGGTTGGATGTCTATCTCTCTTTTTAGTTGTAATAATGATTATAAAAAGTAATTATAATTATAGAGTATATAATGTTTTTCTCACTCATAATAATCCATATAATTACATCATATGAGACTTAGATTACGAATGCAGTGAATCCCTTGTGTACTATCACTGGTAGTATTGCTTATGAAAGAGTGCATACAATACACCAGACAATACCCGACAATTCCAATTCCTAATAGCACTACAGTTGAGTTGTGGACCAAATACTATCATCGGTAAACCGTTATCTAAAACCATAATACTCTGTAATAACTGTATTGAAAAGTCACAAAACTTTAACCAACAATACTCGCCAATATTATTAAATATAAAACATTGAATTTGTAATCAGTGGCCTCTCTCTCTCTAAACTAATATTCATTCCCTTCGCACAAACTCTATGCTCTGTATTGTTATGTAATGACTGTACGGACGGGCGCCGGTAGTCTAAGGACAATACGTTGGTTACCATACATAACAAATAAGCGGCAAAATTTGGCCCAACATTTGAGGCCGGTTTTAAGATATTAAATTTATTTAAAAATTAATTTACTTTAATATAAAAATTAAATTCAAAAATATTGACCCTATATTCAGTAATTTTTAATATTTGATTTTTCTGTGAGATTATTAGAGAAGTAATGTAAACATTTAGTGCAAATTTTGATAATTTAATTTAATCTTAATTTAACTAAATTTTGTCAAAACAGTTTAATTGTAATTTATATTTTAAATAAAACTTTATATTGAATATCAAATTATAAAAGTTATAGTCTTGGCTTACACTTGATGATTCATTTAATATACAGACTCATTAAAATATGAATTAGTCAATGAATGAAAACCATAGTCTATTCATTTAATGCTAAACACATATGAAAGTGATATGATAGTCATTATTCCCCTTTTAGAAAGTTAACATCTTTGAGAATTTGCCCTCGTTTTGCCTTTTTATGTTAGCTGTAATAATGATTAAAAGTTGAATTTAATAAATCGTGTTATAAAAAATTTTTAAATTATTAGTATAATTAAACGTAAAAATGCAGACCTATCTAAATTATTATTTTGCAAAATAATACAGTTTCTAATATCTAATACTTTTTAACTGTATTATCTAATATTTATGTTAAAAATTTTATCATTTAAATGTATATTAAATAACTCTTTTAAAACAAATTCAATGTTAATGTTAAGTTTATTTTTATCAAAATATGAACCCATTTAGACCGTACAAAAACTAATCAAAAACATTTTATTATAAACATTTATTAAATGAAATTATATTTGTTATGCATTAGACTGTAAACGAATTGAGATTATTTTCGCTAATAATAACAAAATTGCATTTTAACTATTTTTTTTGAGTAACTAATTATTCATTGAATTCGTTATCAAATGTACCAAAATTACAGTATAATAAGCTATTTCAATGTCACCCATATTATAATGATTACAATTCTTGTTAACTTAATGGATAGAAACTTTAGAATTGATAACATAATAAATTGTCCCAAAATAGTGAATTTATTCATTGTATGTTTTACCAAATGACTATTTAAACAGTATTTTAGGTACATTTTATCTTAAATTATCTTTGAATAAATTATTTTTGTGTGAACAGTATCAATAAATACATTGAAATAACTAATTATATAAAAATAAAATTAATAATACATCTATATCTAATACAGTCCAACTTCTCTATAATGAACGGCCAGTTTTATGACAAACGTGTTCATTATTGGGAGTGAAAGTTTTGTCGTAATCTCTATTAATACGTTCATAATGGGGAGGTATTCATTATGGAGAAGTTCACGTAAGAGATGTTATTTTAACACTTTAAGTATAGGAAATCCAGCATAGATTTCAAACCCGTTCATTATGAGAAGGTGTTCATCCAAGAGAAGTTACACTGTATTTATTAGTTGCTTATAATTCATTTCTGGCGTTAGATTACAGACTTATATATTAGTTCTATTAATGCAAAAATAATTCAAACAATCACATCTTAACATCTATATGTTTGGCCCACTATTCCCCGCTTTGCTATATATTTTACACATTTATATATCTATATCTTATATTTAGTTATTTATTATGCATATTTGGCTTCAAATTACAATCTTATGTAAAAACTCAAAATTAAGTCAAATCAATTCAATTTATAAAATAAATAGTAATTAAATAATAGTTATCATGTATTTATTAATGATTAGAGAACACACGCCATACAAGTCATGCAAACCATACAAATAGGGCTTTAAATATTTGTTGGTGACAACTTTTAATATAACTATACTTGTAATAATTTTACATATAAATACATATTTATAATTAGCATTAGAAAAATGTATCATTTGTTTGCTATAAATAAATGGATCCCATAAACAGATCCAATCATTTGCACAAAAAAAAGCCTATCGGAAACAAATATAACGGAAAGCGACTCTAAATTTACAATAGTTTTCAAATAACATAAGCAAAGCATTTGTTAACAAGTGCTTAAAATTTATATTAATTTAATTAGTTGTGTAATTTCTCTTTTGTTATATTATATGTTGTGTTTGTCTATAAAATGTATGGTTTGAGTCGTACACCTGATTGTGATGTCTAAAGCGGAGATTCTTCGGGAATTCCCTAATAAAATTAGCAAATTTAATGTTAGAAAATAGTTGGTCATATATCTTATAATGCAATAAAAATAAATCACCTGAATTTTCACAATACTTTCTATTTTTAGCTTATTTTATGAATATTTCCGAATTATTTTAATCCCGGTTTCCGATATAATTTCGTGGTTTTTAGTCCCGAATAATCTCTACTCTAGTGATGTCTTTGCAACCGTAATAATGTTTCTAATGAGAGTTAATTAGTAATCATATAAGTTTTATAATCAATTATTCTCTTCACTAACCATAATATAATGTCTTTGCATTTCTGTCTTCTCTATCGCGAGTTTTTCCAATTCTAATCTTAAACTGTCATTCAATCAAAAATGCAATTATTAATTATTTAGTCCGTTATATAAATTATTATATAAAATGAGGTGAATGACATAGAAATGCAAACAATGCTTACCTGTGATACTGGATTTACAATTCCTCTTTAATCCGTTCACACGTTTCCGTTACCGTAAATTTGAATCCCTGTTCGGCCTGTGGCGGACCCTATCATATAATATACAGTATATTATGTTAGACTGACTTTCAATTAAATTACTATTATTTTTATTCACATTTATATTGTATTGTTTTTATTGCCAAATTGTAATGAGGGCCTAATTGTGTCCATTAATACATTTATTGTAAATTGTTTGTAAAAGTGATGATTAATTTAAATCTAATTATCATATCGATTTTAATTTATATTAAACACAACAAACACTCAAAATGTTGATAGTTTTCGATAAAAACAAAATCAATTTCTTCTCAAACAAATATTTCAAAAGTGAAAACTTTTACAAATAATTTTTATCCAAATGTTAATTTAATAATTCTTTTCATTTATCTTAAATTATATCTAAATTTAAATTTAATCTTATATGAAAATGTTTGCCCTACCGGTGAGGCACTCGTCTTAAGCGACGCGTTGTGCGCCGTTTGACACCATGTATGTCATTCATGAGTGCCGGCGCTGTAGACCAGGTGTGAGCCGCCGGTACGACCGCCCGCACCCGTGTTGTTATGATATACCAAATGCTTCTGGAGGTCGATCTGACGACCGAACGAATTCTCGCAGTTACTGTAATAGCATTTGAGTGAATACTTGTCGATCCGGTGGTAAGTCTTCTCGTAATAGTTCCGGGAACTCGTTTGAGTGAACGTACGCTCACACCCGCCGTACGAGCACTTGTAGGGCTTGACGCCTGTGTGCGATCGACGATGTGACTGAATGTAGTGTTTGCTAAAGTTTTTGCCGCAGATATCGCACGGAATTTGCGTTTTGTCGCCACCGGAGCCCCCGTTGTGGCAGTTAGGACTATTGCTGCCGTTGTTATTGTTTGTGTACGAAAGAGAATTCAATTGTTTTGAAGGGTATTACAAGAGATAGAGAAACACATTTTCATTAATACAATTTACTTATAATTGCAAAAACATATACAAATAATTAGGCTGACCAGATGTTCTGTTTTCAAAAGAATTTACTTTATTTTAATTTTATCTGAGTATTCTTTTCTGAAATTCATTTTCTACTATGTGAAACTTATTTAAATAAATTATTCATATCTAAAAAAATTGTATCGTCTTATTATTCTCTATTATTACTGAAAATTTAATCAAATGTCATCTTTGATGTGTTAAATTGAATCTGTTCACATTACAAATTGTGCACTCAATATATCATAGAAATTGCTTTTCCAACTAGATAATTGAAAATTTATTAGTAAATAAAATGTAAATTAATTGTCACCTAATTGATCCCAAGGCATGACAGATGATGGCAAGAATGCTTGCCATTATGAGTGTCCATTTGTGGCACAAATATAATTTCATTGTCTTCTGCCCAGCGTTCGGGTCTTTGCTTTTGTCATAATTGGCGTCAAATGTGTGGTCAAAAGTGATCGCCTTTTGCATAGAGATGGGAGTCGGAAGTGAGTGTCCATCAGGTCTTTGCCGGCCAACCATTCATTGCATCCGAAGTATTCGTACCGGTATTTGCAATTCGGCGGCAGTGCGTGTCCACTGACGGGCTTATTGTTTGTGTTTGTGATACACTTATGGATAGCTCTGTCCAATAGTTGACCACTTGTTTACGTAACACTTGCAGAACAAAATTATATTCATTATTTTTTTAAATATATATTTTTCATAAATTCCTTAATGCACTCTTTGTTATAATAATTAGATATATTTTAATTATAACTAAACTATATTGTTTTAAATTAAATTATAATTAACATAAAATGTGACAAATTAATGACACTTTAATGTACCTGATAGTTACAATACATAGGTCTAAAAGAACTCCCTGTTATGTATAAAATACGATAGTTGTTTCCGAGAAAATCCTGGAGATTATGATTGGGGACCGAGTCCTCCGAGTGGTGCCAAACATATATCACTTCATTCTTCTCTATTGTCTGCCATTTCTTTACCACAGCTTTCACTGTATTTAACTCAGACTCTATGAAAACATTATTAATTCATACAATAATTTTAATTAATTTTTAAATAATTAAATTAAAGTAATAGTATAGAAATACTTATGAGGTTAGGTATGAGTTTTCACTGACCCTTTCCGCCAAACCTCCAGCCATGGAATGGACACTGAATACAGTCGTCGCCCGACTCTGACTCAGTCACCACATGTCCGCCGACACCGAGATTTGCGCTCAAATGTGAACAATAGGCGGACAACACGTGGACAGCACCCGATCTACCCCTGAATGTCACACATTGTTTGCCACACATTTCAAAGGGTTTAACACAATTGAGGGGCAGATCTTTGTGTTTAATGGTTAATGTTAATGTATATTAATTCTCTCTCTCTCTCTCTCTCATTCTCTCTTCTTAGAATATCTGAAAATAATGTTTTAAATATTTCACATATTATACTCTACTGTATATCTATCATACATAAGGGCCTGGTCTCTTACCCCCTTTGCGATACACGTTATTATATAATTTATATTTAATTATATAAAATTAGTTTTTCTCGCCATTGCATTACACACTATTACACAATATTCATTGTCACCTCTCCACTAACTCGTATAATCAATACAATTATTGCAAAACTAAACACTTTCCACAATTATTTAATAATTAATTCACCTCAAAATTAATGTTTCAATAATAAGCAAATTGTTTATTAAAAAATAATATATCTAAAGCCTTACGTTAAGCAATAAACTCAGTATGCATTTTGTCAGTCTCTATCTTTCTTATAAAATTTTATCTTATCAGTTAAATGCTTGGATTTTATTAAACAACTTTTCATTTACAATTCAATTAAATTATTTCTAACACAAGAAAAAGTTACAAATAGTTTACAAGAACATACAGCATGACATCTATAGACACTTATTGACAATTCTTTACGGAATTCTTTACAATACACATCTGAATATTTTACCAAATATATTCTATTTGTTCAAAGTGTGACTCTTTCCTTTATAATAAATATAGTCAAAGTAAATATAGTAAATTGCATATAAATAGTTTTAGTTATTACAATCACATTTGCAATGTCAATGAGCATAACATATCAAGCCTTCATTACACCTTTAATTTTAAAATTTAATATATTTAAAATAATTACACAACATTAAAATTACCAACTTGAAAAATGATTCACCTGTACATTTTCTATACATTTTATATAAATTCCGAGACATTCAGTGCATTATAGTAAACTTGCCTGTACGCTCGCCTGGACACTAATTTTCTCAACAGAGCATAATTATAGATAATCATAATTTGTGCAAACTATGCATCGCATTTTTATACAAATCGGATTGTGTATATTATGACGAGATAAATTAATTAAAATTCATAATATAATATATTTTAAATACAATTTTAACACAATTAATAGAAAATTGCGTATTTTAGAGTGAAGAATAATAATTATGCTACAAAAGTATAAAACTATTATCTGAATTTATCAATTTTTTGTCTGGACATTATATAGTACAGGGGAAACCCCTATCTGTACACTGAACAGATTGTTCAATTCCTATACTGTACAGGCCAAACCTGTACGGTTGGTCACTTTACACAACATATGCCTTATTTACAGAGAATTGCATTAATGTTAGATTTATGACTTTTAATAGTCACTATAATAGTTATGAAAAACAACCCAAATCGTTACTCAAATAGTTTCTTATAATTTGACAATATTTGACAAGGACTTATAAATTAAATACAATGTTTGTTTTATTCTTATTATATTAAACATAACTGTTTTAAGTTAAATTACTTGTATTTAATTAAATTAAACGTACAACTATAAATTATAGTCATCCCATCGCTTTGAATGATAAACTATTGGGATATTAATAGCTTTTACATTTGTCAAAGCTTAATCTATTTAGATTTATTTTACTAACAAACAAATGTAAATTAAGTTGTGAGTTTCTTTGTGGTTTATACTAAAATATACTAAAAACTTGAAAAATGTAGCAAATAGTTACGTAAAAGTTAATAAACGTTTAAATGGTTACGAACGTCTCAAATAGTTAAATATAATTACAATGAACTTTTAGTAAAATGACCGGTATACTGTATACTTATGCAACCTTACACTTTTCAATACCTTTCTATCTAAAAACTTAAAATAAATTAAAAGTTTTAATAAAACAATTAGTACTATATTACACATTTAACTAACGTTTGTTATGATGTATAAAATATTGCATTCGCTGTGTTTAATAAACACCTGTAATAGTGTGAGCTATGTCTGAACCCAATGAACTAAACTTAAAACGAGTTGTAAGAATGTAAGTGATGAAATTTAGGAAATATTTCAGGTCTGTCTGAGTCTTTAGGCTAAATTCTTAGCCCTTTTATATTAAAAATATCTTTGTTGCATATGTTTACTAAACTAAATGACTAATTTTGTAATTTAAATTAAATTAACATTTATACCCAAAATAAGGATCACACAACGCTGTTATACGTTAACCATAATTCGGGTAGTGCTTAAAGAATAGATTAGCATTATCTATACATGTAATAAATGTCCATAAAATTAGCACTCTCATAGACTTAGCATTGTCCCTAGATTTAACATTATTCCCATAGACTTAACATCGCTCATGTTATTCTTATGCCATAGATTTAGCATTTTGGAACTTAAAGTACAACTATAGGTTGTAATTCCATTTTAATTCCCCATAGATTCAAGAAATCAATGTTAAGGTATAGCCATAGACTTAAACTGTAATTCTATATTAAATCCCCTAGAGGGAAAGGGACCGAACGATCCTATAAACCTCATTATTCATATCTGAATTGTGGTTAAAAATAAATAATTAAATTCTAATAAGAGCGTTTGATTTGCAGTAAATTTATCATAATTTTGTAATAGCGAATTTTAAAATAGACTTCAAACATTTATTTAAATAGAATAATTGATAAAACACAAAACAATAATTTATATTTAATACATTTTTTATGGAATTGAATTACTTAATGATTTTTGCTCATTGATTACCATCATTACTGTCACTCAAATTTAATTAACTCAACCAACAATTAAATAATAATAGAATAAATTATATTATTACATATACATTATAACTTATTCCCTAATTTGGCTAACTTACTTAGATATAATATACTTGTATAAATGGTTTAATCTTTTTTCAATCTTTTAGACATTTTAGACATAAAAGTTTTTAGATATATAATTTATAGAATATCCTTAAAATAAACATTTAAAAAATTTGCATAATTTTAATAAGATTTTTTATTTAAATTCTTATTGTTGTATAATTTATAATTTAATTGTGAAAATTCAGTTATCTCTCATTTTAAACAGATATTTGTCAATAAGAGTAAAAATGAAATAATTTTAACAATTGGTAAACATTTCCCAACTTTTAATATTAAATTTATAATATTCAGTTAACATTACAATTATATAATACAGTCAAATATATGTGTTGTCAGCCCTCTATGCTATAACTTCTCTTTTATAAAAACAACCCAAATACCTACTACATAGACATAAGGTTAAAATAATTTCTATGTTTTAAACTAATCTATGTTATCGACCTAATGCTCTGGAACCGTTTTGTTGATAACATAGATGTTTGACTGTATTCATTTCGGATACTCTTTAGTCGTATTTATCAGTTCTCAATGTAATCACAATAACACTATTATTATAGACATTTAAACACTTAATACAACAAAAAATGATATAAACTTTTATATTAGACGTTTTATGTTTGTTAAACTTATAATGACCATTTGCACACCTGTACACCTTAGTGTACACAGTATAGAAATTATACATTATAATTGGGGATGTATATTAATTTTGGCAACTCTTGATGACAGGTAGTTATAGAGAGTTATTATATTCAAGTCTTTTTCCTGCAAACGTTATGTGTTTTTATAACTTATCAAAATGTATAATAAATTAATATTTAAAATATAATTATCGATAATGACTTATTATCATATTTAAAATAATGTATGTAAATTATTTTTAAACTAAACTATAAAATATAACATAGTTAGCGATCAAATGTTAATTAAAATGATTAAAAATCTCAAATGTCTTTAATAAATCTCGGTATAGTCAACAATAAATCAAACTCATACGATACATTCATACTATGACAAATGACCATAGTCATTACAATTAAAATGGTTTTTTATGTTTTTGTTGCCGTCTGTAATTTCCATAATATCTCTCCTGAATAAACCTATTGCGTGGCGCGTAGAGATTATGTGTGCGGACAAAGACTAACTCCCGGCGCTCTCACCAAATATAGTAAACTGATATTTATCTCCCAAATTTTGCAGCATTGTATAACTCATTATTATGTCATAACTCATAGATTATTTCAAAAATGAATAGAAATTATGAGTAAAATAAGCTGTCAATTGAAACCTATTTTAGCGCCAATAACTTTTTATTAAGTCCGACATTTCCGGGCGCGTCCTCCCAATTTTCGTATAGGATACCAAACGGTCCTAACCTATAGTTTGTTTAGACAATCATCATATCAATTGTGGCCAAACCTTTACAGTTATATATCTATAAATATTGAGCCTTTGTTTAACCCCTCCGTGTATGTAAAACATAATAGGTTTGAGCTGTGATTTGTTTGTGTTATTATTTCCCACATTTGGTGTCCATATGTTTTATACCAAACAATCTTCACTGAATGTTAAATTCGGTACGAGTGGTGACACAATTTGAATGAATTTTGTAGGTTTTTACGCACCTAATAATTAAACGTTAATTTATACAAACAAATCTACTTTTAACTTTCTTTGCATATCATTTGTGACCATTACTAATTAATGCTACTGAAATATTCACTCATTATTATTATGTCAATTTTTGTCACAGTATCTGAACGATATATTTAATACAGAGCCGTCAGTCTATTTATCTAATTCTAGTTATATTTTTTATATATTTGAATTTAATATGAAAACGAATATGACTTTTTAATAAATATGGTATATTTTTATATACATATATCTATTGTATCTAATCACAATGTACTTTGTCTCCTAACTATTCGTAGTTAAGATCTGACCAAACATAATTAAAATATATAATTTTGATAAGTCATAAATTTACTATTTTCATTACCTTATTGCTTAATACACTGAATTAAATAATTGTTTGAATTTCATTTGCATTTGTATGACGTGTGTTATAGATTAAGATCATATACTAATCTTATTTAGATCCTGATATATTCAAACTTCAATATAATTCAGTCAAAAGTTTAGAATTTCTAATTTTTTAATTGTGAAAACTTTTAAATAAAATACAATATAATTAAAATTAATTACGTAAGCAATACATTGTCAAATGAACTACACTTGACCGTGTTGCTTTCCTTCTTCGTGTTCAACATCACTTTATTATAATCAAAATTGTTAACCAACCACATATTTAATAAATGCTTTAATTTTAATTAAAATGTTATATAATTAAAATCAATTTGGATTAAAATCAACATAGAAGTAATGATTATTACCTATAAAATGTTTGTTAAAATTGTCCCGGTATTTTCGATTTAAAACAGTGTTCATTTTCTAAATATATGAATAACATAGATATTCCGTATATTATACGTTTTTATTAAATTCTTATCTACTTTACACTTAACTCTCGATATAATAAACTCATGTTTTGCGTATATACTCCTGACAAATAAATAACAAAATAAAGTATGCGTTTCTATCTGTCTCTATCAGATCAATACAAAAATTATGGCAAATAATTTTGTTTTTAATTAACTATATCGTTGTATAGTTTAATTCCGTATTCAAGTATAGAATTAAAATATAAATAATAAATATAATTTTTACAAAATAAAGTAAACAACATACAATGTTTTCCATACATTTGTCATTAAATTTACTGCAAATATCACTTTATATGTCTTCTGTTACTCAATTCATATATTTGTTTACTGATTTATATGAAAGCTATTAATGAACAGTTTATCCAATCGGGCAGAAATAGTAGTATACGTGCTTTACAATAAAAGTAGTGTAAGTACTCTATGGTAACTTTGCGACATATATCGGCCATAATGTTAACAGTGTGCTTTTAATTTTAAAACATTTAAAATCTGTTTACAAATTAAAACGTTTGATTAAAAATAAACACAAACTCCGCTGTTGTGTGTATTATATGACCAGGTTTTATATTGTTTAACTTTTATACAAAATCTTAATAAAATGTGTTTAAAATGAATGAATAAATTACGTAACGTTTACCATGGCTTAT